TTAAATTGTTATTAACACTTTCTAACAGTTTAGAGGCTATATATTTATATTATATATTTTCAAACACACATTTAGTGATTAATTTAATGATAAATTAGTAATTTAATTTTTTTATCACATTCAAATTGGTATATAAAAAAAATTATTTGATTTAACAGTGTGTATGTATGTCTAAAATAATTATTAAAAATTAAAACACAACAAAAATCAATCACAAATCAATCAATCAAACAAACAATAGTAAAGGATATATTTTAAAAAACAAATCAAATGTGATATTATTATTATTTAATAAAATAAATTATACCCATTTACTACTACTACTACTGCTAATAATAATAATACAAAAATATTTGGCACTAAAAAATACAGTATAAATCACATGATTTACTTTATATTCAATATATAAATATATATATATATAAAAAGTTTATATATATTGTTATACATTAATTTAGCAAATTATTGATATTAATGTCTACTTATTTTATATAACAACAGATTACATGTACTGTATTATACATATCATATATATATATATATATATATAAATTTGATATTTTTGTTGATATTTTTTATATACCTTTATATACGGTATTATAACTGTTGGACTAAAAACTTTTGTTTTATTTTATTGCACACTTGATATAAAAAAAATCATTTATATTCATTAAATAATAAACTAGAGTCACACACATACACATACACATACACATACACATACACATACACATACACATACACATACACATACACATACACATACACATACACATACACATACACATACACATACACATACACATACACATACACATACACACATACATACACATACACATACACATACACACACACATACACATACACATACACATACACATACATTATTATTATTATTATTATTATATTATTTTATATTTTCAATGTTTAAAAACTTTTTTTTCTAGTGTTGTGTGATATACATGTTTGATATTATTATAAATTATATTACAAATATACAGTATATATATATATGTAAATAATGTATGCCAAGTCATTGCCTATTAATTTATTATTTGTATTATTGACTTTTGTTTTTAAGTACCCCTGATATTGATGACTAAAAAAACGTGACTATTATTCAAATAACTATTTAATTTGATGTTATGTTATGTTATATTATATTATTTTTTGTTCACTCAATTACTTGTTGATGTTTTTTTTCCTAATTAGATATTGAATATTATAAGTATAATGTAACCCAAAAATATAAAATAAAATAAATTCAACAAAAAAATAGATAAAATAAAATTCTTGTCGTTTGTTTGAATTTATTATTAAAATACTAATTATTTTGTGTTTTTATTAATTAATTTTTTTTTTAAAATAAATAATACTAAGATATCAATTGATAATGAAATTAATTTTGATTTTATTTTTTTAATAATTTTTTTTTTGTTAAATAAACTTATGGTATTATATTAATATTTTTAAGACTATTAATATTATTGATATTAATATTATTATTATTACAGTATTAGTAATAAAAATAAGTGTATCAAACAAAAAACAAAAAATTTATTGATATTAAACATATTCTTGAATATCTATTTATATATATATATATTATTAAATGATATATAATATTATTGTTTTTGAAAAAAATATTTTGAATACTTAAAAAAAAAAATAATAATAAACGAAATCATAATAGCATAAAAAAATTTAGTATAATGTCTAGTAGTATCAAATAATGTCTAAAAATTTATAATAAATATAAATTTTTTTATTAATATAATATATATATACAGACAGACAAACAAAAAATTGGATATCGCTTTGAGTGATAATTAAAAAATATAAAAAATAATAAATTATTGCTATCATTATTATTATTATTATTCAATATTTTGATATAATATATTTGAATATAATATTTAAATATGAAACTTATGAAAAAACACGAAAAAAATTTATGATATTATATATAATAATAATATATTATATATATATTTTTTATGTGTCTGTTAATGTTATCAATGATTTTTATATCATATTATATATATATATTATTTTTAATAACAACAACAACAAAAATCATTTAAATTACTTATAATAAATTGACTTATAATACACACACACACAYAAAAACAACAACATATAGTCTAAAGTTTATGGATACAGTATAATACCTTTATATACTGTATAATAYATATGAATAATGATATGATAGTAGAGTTGGCACAAAAAAAATAGATAATTTTTTTTAACAAAAATAATAGAAAAATTTCAGGAAAGTTTCCAATAATATAAATTTATGTCTATGGGATCCCCCCAAAAAAATTCAATATTAATAATATATATATATTATATTCAATTAATATTCAAAATAATAACAAAATAATTCAACAAAATAATTACATTAAATATTTAAAAATATAAATAAAATTTAACCAAAAAAATAAACTATAATTATAATTAGATAATGTGTTATATATTGATATATTATGTTTCAAATTAGTACAGTATTTACAATAGATATAGGGATCTCATAGTAGATTATAATTATAATGTTAAAAAATTTTCTATAGAAATTTATTACTGAGAGAAACTTTATCTAGAAATTTTCTTATAATTTTTTGGGGAAAAAATTTATTATAAAATTTCTATTTTCTCATTTCTCTCTCTCTCTCTCTCTCTCTCTCTCTCTAATATGATATACACTATAAATTTATAATCAATTTTATTTTGCCGATTGACTTCAAAGTTAACTTCAACAAAATGTTATCATTTATTATATTATTAACTTTACATTTGTAATTGTTTTTTATCTCTCTCTCTCTCTCTCTCTCTCTCTCTCTCTCTCTCTCTCTCTTTGACTAATAATAATAATACATGATTTAATTGTGACATGAATTTATAAACATAACTTACAATACACTTAAAAAATACAACCATTACTGTATATGTTATTTATTTAGTTTATTTATCATAAATTAACATTACCTGTATATATATACTGTATATGAATGTAGTTATTATTTTAAGTAGCATTTAATATACAGWATATATATATATACAGTATATATACGGTATATACTGTATACTTAAAGTTGACGTCAGGAAAATACTTAACATTTTTAGTTATAAGTATATATATATATATTGTTCTGTATTATATAAATAACATAATATTGTATTTAAACTAAACTAATACTATTGATGGGCTCATACACACCAACACACACATACATACCGGTACAGTACATAACAGTATTAAACACTATCCTATTATTGATAGGTGTTTAAGGAATTGGTTAACATTTTTAGATAGTTTGTTACAAATGAATGATTTTTTTGTTGTTRTTATTATTATAATAATACTGTATTACATATACCTATACATCACTACTACTACTACTGTGACTACCGTTAAAAGTTATGTTTAAGTTAAGATATCTTATATATTATATATAATACAGTATTTTACTGTCTTAGGTTTTTATTTTGTGTTATGATTTTTATTATTTTTATCAATAATGTTGATAGTGTGCATGTATGTGTGTGTGTGTAACAAAATTTTTTTTTTGTTTTATTATAAATTTATTCAAGTATAATATCAATGATTTTCAATGAGAGAGAGAGAGAGAGAGAGAGAGAGAGAGAGAGAGAGAGAGAGAGAGARAGAGAATATTTACACAAATCAATGTCGAGTGCAATATAAGACTTACACCAAAAAAAAAAAAAATAAAATAAAATAACTAAACATTAGATCTCACTCTCTATCTATCTCTCAGTTTATTATTAATTTCATATACTGTTTATATATATATATATATATTAATTATATTTACTATATTATCAATATATTATGCTGTAGTATATATTTAATTGAGTGTTTCATGTAATGTATGAAACAAATAATAAAAAATAATATTAATATTATTAATAATAATTTATTATTTCAAATGATTTCAAATAAAATAAAAAAAAGTGCACAAATCATATGCACTACTATTAATACAATTACAATTATATATACAGTATATATATAGTAGTATATACAGTATATACTGTTTCTCTATAAAAAAACTAACTGTGTTATCACCAGTGAGATAGTATAATGTTTTATAAATTATATAAATTTATATTATATTATAGATTCAAAAAAATAAGTGATGTTACGGTGTGTTTAAGTAATAGTATATTATATTATATTGTATTTAATACTAAAGTATATGAGATAAGTGACTACCAGTGCTTTAAACACACTGTACTAGTATGTAGTGTAGTGTTAATGTATTTTTATTTTTTGTTACTATTGTTTCCAATGTTTCCAATCAGACATTTAGTTAAATAGTAATATAATATATATATATATATATATATATATATATATTTAAAAAATATTATTATTATTATTATTATTGCTGTTTAGCTGTGAAACATATATTTATATATATATAACTTAAGTGAAAGACATTATACAYATAAATGCTATAATTGTTTTTGTATTATTTTAAAAAAATTTATTATAAATTTAATTATAAATTTATTAAGAATAACGATAATCATAATAATAATAATAATTATATCATTTTTTATTGCTAACTAAAAATTATTATTATTATTATTATATTAATAATTTATAAGAGATAATAATGTAGTTAATTATTTTATTATTTCTTTTATTAATTGTGTTAGAAAAGTGTGTGTGTCTTATAATGTTTTATAATTAAACTAATATACATTTAATATTGCATTTTATTAATATATACAATGAATTTATATTGTGTTCATATTAAAAAAAAATTTGTTATAATTTTTATTATTATTATTATTATTTAACGTCAAACAGATTTCTCTCTCATTATTAATAATTATAATTACTGTATAATAATAATTATTATTATCAAAAAATACTACAACTATATATATATATTATAATTATAGATATATATATATAGATATATAKATATATATTGTCTGTGAATGTCTCGTATACGACAACCAAAATCAAAATGTTGGCATCAAATGGACACCAATTATTGCTAACAAGATCTGCCAAATCGTTATCAAACAAATTATTAATAATAATCTGTTTGAATATAATTATACCATCGATGGTCATCAGCTCAGCATTAGATGACAAACAAATTAARCCAATTTTTAGCCAACAAATAGACAGTTGCGAAAAAAATACAAAAGGATCTACACTTATGAGGTTTACCTCACAATTAGTTATACAAATTGAAGGTAAGAATCGCCTAAAATATATATATATTGTTATTATTATTTAAAGGATAATAGATTATATGTATTACTTGTATTATATAYAGTATATTAACTAATATAGGTATTATAATAATACCTTTTTTATATATATACTTTAGTTTTATTGCTATATTATTGTTAAATATGTTTAATTAATATCATTAAAATTATTTTTTAGACAGTTAATTATCATTAGTAGTAATAATAATAATTATAATAAAAATAATTTATTATTTTACTTATTATTATTATTAAATAKTTTTTTTAAATAATTATTTTTACACACACAAAAAATACAAATTTATTTATTTATATATATATATATTTAATTTTTAATTTAATAATATTATTTATTGAATCGATAATTATATATATAKATATAGATAAAATATTATATATATTTTCAATTATTACAACAAAAATCATTCAACAATTAGTAGTACAACCAAAAAAAAATTTAACATTTAATATATATATATATATTTATTGTAAACTATTTTGTGTGTCTCATTGTTTATATAGTAATAAATTTTATGTATTAATTCTGTACAGTATTATTGATTATCATAATAATAATAATTATTATTTTTAAAAAATTTATGTATCGATGATAGAAAACTATTTTTAATTTTTTTATTTACCAAATAATTAAATAACATATATTAATAAAAAAAATATTGTTAAATCATTTTAACCTATTATTGCCTGCAATGAATGGCGCAAACAATATTTAAATTATTATTATTACTGTAAAAAATAAATTAAAGCAACAAATAATAAGTAATTATTATACGTTTAATAATTAAAGATAATAATAATAATAATACTTGTATTTACAGTATTATATTAATAGTTAATATACTGTATAATAAAATGCATTTTTTAAACTTTGAAAAGTCATGTTATGAATCTCTCTCTGATTAAAATATTATCTATAATATTATGCAATAAAAAATCATTGAAATAATAATAATAGTAATACATAAGTGATTTATAGCTAACTATTTTTTTATTTGTAAAGTCATTTATGGGAAACTTTTTTTTATATTTTATTTGTTGATTATTATTATATTAGACAACATTATAATAGACAAAGAAAAATGATAACAAAATTAATTTATTATATACTATGATATATTCAATTAAACAATATTAATGCTATATTAATGTAATATCTATGATATATATTTTTATTGTATAATAGTTGTAACAATTGACTAAATAAATATGTGCTTAAATTAGATAAATTTTTGCCAATTTTTTATTATTATTATTGAACTTTCATATCTATAAATCTCTGTAGACATAACTTTTAATATATATATATCTATATATTTTTTTAAAAACTACAATATATTAGTTGTTAAAAAATAAAATTATTTATAATATTAATAATAAAATAAAATTATTTCTACACTTAAACAACTATAGCAACTTTGATATTTTCACACAATAGACTTATTATTATTATTATTATTATTTATAATCAATCATTACTACCACCAACGCTATACCAATAAATATTTTTTAGTTAAGATTTAGTAATACAGATAYAKATATTTATGTGATATATTAATAAATAAAATAAAATGTTTTATTGTTTGCGTAATACTGTACTTTATATACAGGTATTACACACACACACACACACACACACACACACACACACACACACACACACACACACACACACACACACACACACACACACACACACACACACACACACACACACACACTGTATATCCTGAACTTAAACTCTAACAAAAATACATATATATATTTTATATATAAGATATCATATTTGAAATATTTGTAAATTTTTTATATAACAATATTGTAATAATAATAATATTAATATTAATACACACTTACACATTGTTATGCTATATATATATATATATATGATATATACAGTATATTTTTTAAATGTCAAATTTTTTATTGCCAAATTTCTACAAATTTTATTTACATTATAGATATATCATAATGTTTATAAGTTATATACAWTTTAGTATATATTTATACGATAGTATCTAATGTTATAAATGTCTTTTATTTTATTTATTGTATTTTTAAAAATATATATATATATTTTAGTTATTTAACTAAATTATTTACTTATAATACAGTATAATAATAATTATGATGATAATAATAATAATAATAATAATAATAATAATAATAATAAAAATTTATCTTAAATTATTTAACCAAATCTGATCTAAAAAATTTTTTTAATTATATTAATATACTTGTATATAAAATACTATAAAATATTATTTTTGTTTAATATTTCACAATAAAATAAAATACAATAGTTTTTTTGTCTTTTGATAGACAGTAGGGATTTTTATAACTTTAAAAATACATATACAGTATATTGCGATAACAAATAGTATATTATATATCAAATAGTATTTAAATGTATAYAAATATCACATTTAAATACATTAGGGGATAACCATTGTGTATGAAAACTTGCAAACAGTATATAAATTTCTATATCAGATATATATATATATATATMTRTATATATATATATATTAAAATATAAGTATATTTAAATAATAAATCGTAGAGATTGTGTGGCACCAAATTTATTATGTAATTTAAATATATTTATTTATTTATATTTATATAAATTGTTTTATATCTTTTAAAATGTCTACACAATACATAATAAATAAAATAAAATAAAAAGCGATTTAAATAATTTAATTTTGAAATATATYTATCTGTCTATTGAAAAAAAAYTATAGCATAGTTTTTTATATTATATTAACAATAAATTAAAGTTCATATATGATATATATATATATTATTATTATAATGTATATGTAATTTTATAATAATAATTAATAATATTTTAATTTATTATTACACTATCAATATAAATARTATTAATAATATGAACTGTATTTATCAAAAATAATATAAACTAAAAAAAATGTTGGCAATGAAATTGATAATTCATTTAATTTTATTAATATTAATATTTAGACAAAAAAATTATTTTATTATTAATAGTATTAATATAATTATTATCATATCATATATGATAATGAATATGGAAATGAAAATAATAATAAATTAATTGATAATTTACTTTTTATTATTTATTAATAATATTATGTCTAATAAACTCTCGTAAACTTATATATAAAATATATTATTAATAATTTATTAATAGTATATATCATATCATATTATTACTGTACAAAAAATAAAGATAATAAYAAAAAAAATTATTAATACATAAGTTATTTTCTATTAGATAATTATATTCAAGTATTTACATAAAGTTTATATATAAATATATATATATCCTATAAAATAAAACATAGGWTTTTTAATTATTAAATAAATCAAATAAATATATATTTAATTACTAAAAACCAAACAAAAAAAAAATTTTGATCACAATTTAGATGCCATTTCCGGCGACAAAGACCTATACGATTTGGTCGCCGACGGCGGCGACGGCGGCAGCGAAATAAAGTCAGTTAAGCTGAAAAAACCGGTCGAAAACGAAACCTTTGATTTTCGGCTAATCTTCGGCGATACCACCGCCGCCGCCGACCAATTGGTTGTCGGCATCAGTGGCCACTTTGTACGCAACTGTGACGACTCGTATTCGTCGTCGTGTACGGTAATCATTGCCTTCCTGTCCAGTCTATGCCTAATCCTGTTTACGGCACTGGCGCTGGCGTTGATTATATTGCGCCGAAAAAAACCGATAACCTTCAAGTTTGGCCAACGAGGAGACGGCGGTGGCCARCGAGAGTCCATCCAATACAACGATGGCGTCGGCAAACAGTTTAGTAATTAGTAAGTTATAAGATATACTGTACATACAGACAGACAGCACCTGTACCTAACTTTCTGTTAGTCTATCCTATCTATCACTAGTAATAATAATAATTATTATTATTATTAGTAATTAGATATTTAAATTTAAATTTTATCTTAATTATTACTAAAAGGGTATCTTAATTAAGTGATATTAACTGGCAATTAAGTAATATTTAAGTGTAAAGTATTATATAATTTAATTATAATAAATAGTTTTTTTTAATTTTGTTGTTGCACTATATAATTAGGTACACAAACATTAATATTAGTTTTGAAAATAAATAAAAATTATCAAAAAAWATTAAATTAAATATWATATTATSATATGTTTGTTAGGATTTTYTTATTGATTAATTTAATATTCTTGTTATTATTTTATTATTATTTTTATTCAAATTGATATTTTATCATATGATATGAATTTATTATTATTATTGTTATTATAATATTATTGATTATTTAATAATGTCTAGAATTTTTAACAAAATTRTATTAAATATCAGTTAATATATTGTATATATATATATATATATAACTTATATATTTAATATGAATAATGAGACTTAAAAAAATTGGAAAATAATATATAAATTTTATATATATTTAAAAAAAATAATATTCACTTTAAAAAAATTTTTAATTAACTTATTAAATAACACCTATAGTTAATAAACTATTAAAACATATAGTTATTATAATTTATATWTTTTTAATTTTTTAAATTTTTCTTATATATATATATATAAAAAATTAGCGAAAACTATAACGAAAATCACGTCAACAAAGAGCCGTCCGGCGGTGATGTGACCGCCAATAATGGCCACAATTTTATAATAAACTCTGTACACAATAGTCCACTKCCGCCGTCGTCKCAGCCGAGAAAGTCRTCGCTAAAGCCGTCGACCAAACGTAACAGTATTAGCGACCCGTCGTCGGTAATGATGGCCAACAACAACAACAATACTAACACAATAATCGCCAATAACCTCAACCTAAATAACAACAACTACGACAACGTTGGCTTTACGGGCGGCGATCTGGAGGTTGTTCCCGAAATCAACGAAGATATCAGATCGTTGGCTGGTGTTGGCCTCGGCGACGGCGGCGGTGGCGGTGGCGTCGACGACAGCGACTGTGGTGCCGACGACGATGATAAGCCACCGACGATGGCACCGCCGAAGCTGCCAGAGGTCCGCCGCAAGTCTATCGTAACGTTTTGCGAAACTACGCAAATCAATTATGGATGATATAACCCATACACACCACTCCCGGAGTAGAGGGGGGGAGGTAGGGAGGGGTTGTTAGATGATGATGATGATGATGGTTGTCCTCCTCCTCCACCATCAATAGTCTTGAGTTAATTAATAAATTGTGATCAATTAGTGTGTGTGTGTGTGTGACTGTGTTTGACATTTTTAAAAAACAATTTTAGATATTAATTGTGTAAATTATATACATATTTTGCTAACAAATTGTTATATATATATATATATAATATAAAAAAATTATTATATATCTTATTTAATTAGGTATATATCATATATATATATATATTATTAATATATATATAAATTATATATATTTTTAAAAAATAATAGCTGTGTTTTAAATAGTGTGTAATTTTTTTTGTTTTGTTATATATATTAGTTGTTGGTATGAAAATTACATAATAATTATTATARTAATAATTAATTAATTAATAATATATTTTTAAATTCATTTAACATTCATTATATATCTCATATCGCCTGAAACATCATCTGTAAACTAACTATTTTTTTCAATAAACAAAATGTGATATAAATTAAGAAACAATAATATAATATAAATAAATAAATTAATTAATTAAAACCAAATAAATCTAATTATTATTATTATTTGATTACATAATATWWTTCCGATTATGTATATGTTTCTCATTAAAGACAAACTATTATAAATTTATTATATATATATTAAATAATATGAATACCGATAATCATATATATATATATATATCATATAATATATATATATATATATATATAATAATTATATATATATGATATATTCAAATAAACAAAACCGATAAAACACTTTATCCTAAGTGTAGTGACTTTTATATACACAACATAACCATCTAATCTATATATATATATATATATATATAATCGGTAATAAAATCAATAAATTTTATTCATTGTTGCCATCCATCCATTCAAAACAAATAAGTAGTGAAATAATTAATGAAAAAAACCCCAATTGATGGGATAATAATTTGTTTTTATCAAAAAATAAAACAAAAAACATTTTTTATCTTAAACTAAAGGATTAAAAATAATTAGCTTTTAATCGATGGGATTATTTTGAAATAATAATAATAATAATGAAAAAAACCAATACTTATCGGTAAGTGCTTTACTGACTCCTGTTTTATGTGTGTGTCTGTGAATCTTAATGATATAAATTAATATATATATAATTATATTATTATTAATTATATAACTAATCATTATATATATATATATATACCGTAATTATCATTAGCATTGGAAAAAAAATATTTATCAACAATTTATTTTCCTCTCTCTCTCTCTCTCTCAAGTATCAATTGTTTTTTTAATTAATTAATTAGTTAGTTAATTACAATGTTATTAGTCTAATACAGTAGTAGTAGTAGTAGTACAGTAGTTGTGTGTGTGTTTAATACAATACAATTTATTTAATTGATTAATTCAAAATGATATATAATATAATTATTATACTSTACTGTACTTTTATATATATAACAATAATTTTTGTTTGTTGGTGTAAATAAAGTWTAGTGATTATGGTATGATATTTTATTTAATTTTATTAGCTCATGTATGTGTCTCTGTGTGTATGGGTGGGTGTGTGRGTATGTGTGCTATCGTGTGTTGGTTGATATCATCAATGAAATTGTAATGTAATATACAGAGACAAATGGATAATYGATTTATCGTTATATATATATATATAAATACAATTTAGTCAATAGTGATATCAATTAATTAATTAATTAATAACTTATATTATAAACCAATACACACAAAAAAAACCTACAGTTAGGTTAAGAGTYAGGTGGCTATAAAAAAAACTACCGATGCTGTCGACAACGACAACTACACACATGTGTCCGTCCGATCACTTTTTGCCCGATTTGTTKATAATTTGTTTCTTAGGCGGCGCCCATCTCAACGAATTTTGTTCAACAGTTAGMCKGGGTTTCTTATACTGGGCACTCTTGAGATGTTCATCCACTAGYTTMGGYGTYACACAGATAACRTGCTGTCCTTTCCAGTATTTRACCATATTCAGCGACTGTAGTGTACCGATRATGTCGCTCTGGGTRATGGATGTCATCARCGATAGATCCCGTATGGATAGTACACCGCGAAAATCGCGCAATATTTCCARCAAAACCCAYGACCARTASGAWCGGTARCTAAGTTTTCCCAAATCACTYAACGGTTTTTCGGGCGATCCRACCGATTGTTCCAGTTTTGAYAGTTCATAGCTGAATGCWATGAGAAATTTGCCGTAACCTTTGCGCTGATAGGGCGGTAGTGTCAGAATACAGGCCAAATTGTTACCGTCGGGCGATTCTTTTTCTTTRGAAAAATAGCCGACAATATGGGCGCCGTGTTTGTCSACTTCGCACAGGATGTAGAACAGGAAGGGTTCGACRTCGAAGAATAGTGTCTTATGATCCAAGAATAGCTTAGCCAACAGACAAAGGTTTTGACAATAGATTTTATGATCTCTGCCGTCGACTTCGTAGACGGATATCGTACCCTTTCGGTAGATTTCTTTGCCGTGCGGCTGCCGATAGCAACAATCCGATTGATGATATCGGTAGGTCTTTTCCAATCGCATATACTTCAGACAGTATTCGCAWATCCAKAGTTTCGGCTGTCGGCCATAGTCTTCGGGAAACGGCGAAAAATACCAGCAATCGATTTCGTATTTACCGAAYTGGATTTTATCCACATATTTYACTTTAGTAATGGCCTCGTGTTCWCGTTCGAGKGCSGCAGTTGTCGGATCCATTTCGGCCAATGTTTTCTGAATGTGATTGATTTCGTCGTGTTTTCGTTTCTGATTGCGCGTAATCTTCCGATCGCTGCCGCCRTCGATRGTRTTGTCGTTGCCGACAGTAATAACAACGGCTGCCGTCGCCGCCGATGAGCCRTCMGTTGTCGACGCCAACGCTGACTTATCGCCAGCTGCTGTACCGCCCGGACCGGCGGCGCCGTTGGCCTTCATTTTCGTATTGAACCTCTCGTTGCCAACCCATTCGTCCAGACGGCGATTGAAGCCGTCGTAGTGGACATAGTATTCTTGGCGTCCGTTTTCGCAGTTATTCGACCGCATTTCGATTACTTCGGCCGAGTCTAGAGAGTCCGCGAGAGAGAGAGAGAGAGAGTATAGTCAGTAAAACTGCGGCAAMCATTGTTGGTCAACAACATGATAAGCAAACTTACGCCACGTGTTGTCCGATCGGCGGACCATTAAATGYTCGCCAATTTCGGGCCACAATTCGCCWCCGCCRCCGAGCTCGGCATCTTCGGCACCATTTTTGTTGAYYCCATTGCCATCAGCGGCGGCGGCRGCAGCRGTGGTCCCGGCGGCGACTGTGGCCGCWGTAGTGCTAACAGTTGCGGTTGTAGTGGTGGTCGCCGTTGTTGTTGTTGTGGCCGCTGTTGTTGTCGACGACGACATCGGGAGTGAAAWTCAAATGARARAAAAGTCTGTAAACAATACTAACGTATAAAACGAAACAAATGTTTTTGGTTTTARTTTTTTTTTTYGGGAAATATTTATTATTATTATWAACTAAAATATATTATTAATTAATTAATAAATTATTTTWAAACACATTTTWTTTAACGACAGTTATTGTTGTTATTGTTTTGTATTTATTATTATTATTATTATTAYTAAACATTGATTGTTAAGCCATAGTATAAAATAAAATTAATTTTTATCCATAAATTATGTCATTATTTAAAGTATTAATGTTTTTTTTTATACAACATTTACGTCAATGTATTTTTTTGTTAGCTATTAGTTTAAWAAAAAAAWTTATTAATTAATTAAATTTAATTAAATACAACAAAATAATAGTAAATTTATTTAACTAAATAGTTTTATGTTTTTTTTTAATAAAAAAATGTATCGAAACATAAACATAATTATTTATTTGATAAAAAATTATTGTTTCATTGTTTTGTTTGTTTGTTTTTTTTTAAATTAATTTTTCAATACATTTGATAGTATACTAAATAATATCAATAATAATATGTAATAATTTGAAAAAAATTATCTATTTTTACAACAACAACAACAAAAAACACAACTAAATTATATATATATAATTAATTTATATAATTATATATTATTATTAATAATAAAAATGATTGCTAATAATTCAATTACCGGGTAATTACCCGGTAATTATAAAGTTTAAACCCTAAACTTTAGGGTATATTTTTACAACAAAAAAAAATAATATCAATAATAACCAGTTGAGAATGCTTCAAAAGCATTTCCATACGAATTCCTTAACTTAAAAAAGAAAAAAAATCAAAAAAAAAGTTTTTGACACTATTTTCTTTATGTTCCTAATAAAATAAACTTAAAAAAAATTTCAAAATTTTTTTTTTAATTAATTATTGGACACCATTTTGTTTATTTTCCTGAAAAATAAACTTAAAAAATCAAAAAAATAAAAAACATCAAAAAAATAAAAAAAAATCACAAAAAATGTGTAGCTGAACGTGGATTCGAACCTATGTCCTCGTGGGACAGACAGACAGACAGACAGACTTTTAGAATGCATATACGTATTCCTTTCAGGAATTCGTGAAAATACTATATTTTTGTTTCAATATATAATGTGTCAAATAGTAGTTATTGATTATCCATATTATAATAATAATAATAATAGATAGATATATTGATAATTAATATCCTAATTGGGTATCAATAAACTTAAACCAATTTTTTTAAAATTAAATTTTTAGTTTAGTTTACGCAATAATTATATAAAAATCAATTGAATCTGTAAAACACGCCAACAAAACTATATATATATAAAAAAAATTAATTTTAATATTTTTGTTAGGTTTAATAACAGTTTTGTTAAAATGTTTAAAATTATTTTGCTACTATAGTTAGTTCCCCCGGTAATAATCATGTGATTTAATTTTCTGGTTTTATTAAAATTAAAATTAAAAGTATATTTAAAAATTATGTTTCTTTAATTATATAGTTAGTGACCCTAAAAAACGGCCGTTTTGTGACTATTTATTTAAAGTCTATTTATTGTTTTGCGAAAAAATGTTTTTGATTTTAGTGTACATTATCTATTAGTATTAGGTTTAGATCAGATTCCCTCCCTCGTCTTATTTTCCATAAGTTCCTTATATTCCCTCTTCCCTGGGAATTCCCTGGGAAGACATTTCCTTGTGGTACCACCTATCGTACCCTAACTCACATTACATAATGTTTAATTAAAAACACGTTTGTATAGTAAATGTCTACAAAATGTATTTTAATGTTTTTACTAAATGTTTAATAATATTTGAATCATATTTTGATTGAGTTATTACTAACATAATGGTCCCAATTGAAACACATAGCCATTGAGATTATGTACTTTTTAATGTATGACAAATTATATATTCCCTTTCTAACGATCAAGGGAGGGAATATAATATATTTTCCATATTTTCCGGGAAAATTGGAGGGATTTTATTTGGGAACTTCCCTCCCTGGGAATCTCAATCTAACCCTAATTAGTATGCAGCATCGATTAATGTACAATGTACATTATCAATAAGTCTGCAATATTAGTTAGTATCGATTAGTGTAAAGTATTATTTTTTTAAATAAAAAACACGTTAAAAATATTATATTAAATGTTTAAATAAAAAAATTGTAATGCATGTTGCAATAATACATAAAATTGTTAGTGTGTGTGTTTAATTTGTTTTATTTTATTAGTTATAAAAATTATACTAAATAAATAATTATTTAAATTTCGCGTTAAATAATAAAATATAAAAAAAATTTTCTTTACACGTGCAATTACTATTTAAAAATTCACTGTTTAGTCAACAATACATTTTATTTAACCGTTGTTATTGAGTTATTTTAATTTTAATTATTTTTAATTGTTGTAACGCGCAAAAACATTTAAAAACATTTCCAATAAATTTTATTTAACCGTTATTTTAATTATTTTTAATTTTTATATATCGAACTAAAAGTAATTGTTTGCCTGACGGATATATAAACAAACATTTCCAAATTATATAGAAGTATAGATATATATAATATGAAACTTATATAAATAATTTAGAATTTTTAAAAAATAAAAAATAATAATAACTTAAAAAAAGTTAACTGCTTATAATGATAACCTATAATTATTATAATTAATACATTTATCAATTATCAACAAAATTTTATTATTAATAAATATTAATAAGATTACAATATATTCTAATGCAATAAATTATTAGTATTTTAAAATTAAAAAATAAGTGTTTTTTTTAAATCTAAATTATAATATATTATTTCATTTTACAATAGTTTTCTGCATCGATATAACCATTGATTGTATACCAATTATATTATACCATAATAAGTAATATAGTTTTCAACCATTTAAACCAATCAATTGTACCGTTAGTTGTAATAGATATTAATGTATTTGGTTGTTGAAGACTTAGTTAATCAACAGATATTAATGTATTTGGTTGTTGAAGACTTAGTTAATCAACAGATATTAATGTATTTGGTTGTTGAAGACTTAGTTAATCAACAGATATTAATGTATTTGGTTGTTGAAGACTTAGTTAATCAACAGATATTAATGTATTTGGTTGTTGAAGACTTAGTTAATCAACAGATATTAATGTATTTGGTTGTTGAAGACTTAGTTAATCAACAGATATTAATGTATTTGGTTGTTGAAGACTTAGTTAATCAACAGATATTAATGTATTTGGTTGTTGAAGACTTAGTTAATCAACAGATATTAATGTATTTGGTTGTTGAAGACTTAGTTAATCAACAGATATTAATGTATTTGGTTGTTGAAGACTTAGTTAATCAACAGATATTAATGTATTTGGTTGTTGAAGACTTAGTTAATCAACAGATATTAATGTATTTGGTTGTTGAAGACTTAGTTAATCAACAGATATTAATGTATTTGGTTGTTGAAGACTTAGTTAATCAACAGATATTAATGTATTTGGTTGTTGAAGACTTAGTTAATCAACAGATATTAATGTATTTGGTTGTTGAAGACTTAGTTAATCAACAGATATTAATGTATTTGGTTGTTGAAGACTTAGTTAATCAACAGATATTAATGTATTTGGTTGTTGAAGACTTAGTTAATCAACAGATATTAATGTATTTGGTTGTTGAAGACTTAGTTAATCAACAGATATTAATGTATTTGGTTGTTGAAGACTTAGTTAATCAACAGATATTAATGTATTTGGTTGTTGAAGACTTAGTTAATCAACAGATATTAATGTATTTGGTTGTTGAAGACTTAGTTAATCAACAGATATTAATGTATTTGGTTGTTGAAGACTTAGTTAATCAACAGATATTAATGTATTTGGTTGTTGAAGACTTAGTTAATCAACAGATATTAATGTATTTGGTTGTTGAAGACTTAGTTAATCAACAGATATTAATGTATTTGGTTGTTGAAGACTTAGTTAATCAACAGATATTAATGTATTTGGTTGTTGAAGACTTAGTTAATCAACAGATATTAATGTATTTGGTTGTTGAAGACTTAGTTAATCAACAGATATTAATGTATTTGGTTGTTGAAGACTTAGTTAATCAACAGATATTAATGTATTTGGTTGTTGAAGACTTAGTTAATCAACAGATATTAATGTATTTGGTTGTTGAAGACTTAGTTAATCAACAGATATTAATGTATTTGGTTGTTGAAGACTTAGTTAATCAACAGATATTAATGTATTTGGTTGTTGAAGACTTAGTTAATCAACAGATATTAATGTATTTGGTTGTTGAAGACTTAGTTAATCAACAGATATTAATGTATTTGGTTGTTGAAGACTTAGTTAATCAACAGATATTAATGTATTTGGTTGTTGAAGACTTAGTTAATCAACAGATATTAATGTATTTGGTTGTTGAAGACTTAGTTAATCAACAGATATTAATGTATTTGGTTGTTGAAGACTTAGTTAATCAACAGATATTAATGTATTTGGTTGTTGAAGACTTAGTTAATCAACAGATATTAATGTATTTGGTTGTTGAAGACTTAGTTAATCAACAGATATTAATGTATTTGGTTGTTGAAGACTTAGTTAATCAACAGATATTAATGTATTTGGTTGTTGAAGACTTAGTTAATCAACAGATATTAATGTATTTGGTTGTTGAAGACTTAGTTAATCAACAGATATTAATGTATTTGGTTGTTGAAGACTTAGTTAATCAACAGATATTAATGTATTTGGTTGTTGAAGACTTAGTTAATCAACAGATATTAATGTATTTGGTTGTTGAAGACTTAGTTAATCAACAGATATTAATGTATTTGGTTGTTGAAGACTTATTAATGATATTATTTGGTTGTTGAAGACTTAGTTAATCAACAGATATTAATGTATTTGGTTGTTGAAGACTTAGTTAATCAACAGATATTAATG